TGTAACGCACTACTTTATTTATGAAAAAGTAACGTAACGTGATAAAAATAATTTTTGGTAACACAAATGTAATTTAAATAAAAATATTTGAAGTAACGAGTAACGTAATTCCATTACTTTTTAAAAGTAATTTACCCAACACTGACGGTATACTATCATCAACGGTGCCGAGTGACTTATCCGCGTAAGTCTGCAGCAACTTACGCCTTTTGAGAGGCCGCCCAGGTCATCCCGTTCGGCGTGTTCTATCCAGGTCTTCGCCAGCCCATCACCATCACCGAATTTCAGTAGTTGCTAAGTTATTTTAAGTACTGCCCTTATTGTTGTGAGCTCTGTGGTCATTGCACCAGATCGAATCGACCATACAGAGACCCCCTCCCCATAACTTAATTGCACCATCATATTTCTTGTGATAACCTAATTAGGTATTAATTATCAAATTATTTTTGTCCTATTTTACATCATTAGAATAATTGTGTGGCATGGTTACAAACATTATGATATGTTTTTAAGTTTAATCCATGTAATTAAATTATGATAATACGAATACTAACGCTTTAATTAGCCGTTTAATGTTAATAATAGGCAAAATAAATAAAAATGTCGTAATTTAGTTCTCAAATTATAATTATAATTACTTATGAAATATTAAATTCAAAAATACAAATTATTTACTATATACATTATTCTGTAACCAAAAAAATCTAAAGAATAAATAAACAAATTTTTTTTTATAGGTTTTCTTTATATTCAATAACCAAGAACAACGATTTCATTTGTTTTGTTGAAATTTAAAAACATTATTTGTTAGTAATTTAAACTTTTAGATTAGGTATATTATTTTCAAACTCAATTTTTTCGATAAAAATGTATTCAACCTTCTATAGTACTATAGTGCCTTTTATTTAATAAAATAAATTATTTTAATCACAATATTATTATACAATACACCTATTACACCTACTTAGTAATATTAAAGGCTAACAGACCGTCTTCGCTCAGAATTTTTTTCCGTATGCAATGACCTTATATATATATTATATTATATATCATTGAATTCAAATTTAACACATCCAGTACAGTGACACCCTAAAATCCTTATGTACAACAGAGCGTTACAAACAAATCAGCTTTTATTTTAGGAGGGTAGGGACTATTGACGCAGTTGTACAACTGGATGAGTTGTTTTGAAATTGATCTTTTGTAAAACAATAGCAATATGAGTAAAAGTAAGACAAAAACGACACAAAGACATGACAAAACAGTCATTAGATTAATGCGGTGGAGCTAAGAAGTTAAAGTTAAAGTTAAAGTAAGTTTTAATTTTTGGTTAAAGTTTTTTTTTTTTTAAGAATACAATAGCCACTGCTGTCACCGGAGGTGGCCTCTGGGGACGGCGAATATAATATTTTATTGTTTGCGCACACAATGAAGACATCATCCCTCAAAGTGTATACATAATGTGTTAGTGTGTTACATTATAATTACACAATCTTTTCATAGGCGTCAAAGCAAATAAAATAGTAACCACATCACACGTACCGCGTATGACATACATGTCACGTACTCGTATATATTAATCTATGTATTTATAATAATATTAATATGTCTGAACGGGCCGGGTGCGTGTAATAATAATACTTATACCTATATATGCATAGCAAGACTGAAAGGAAATGGACGGGTTCGCCGAGCAAGGCAAGTGAGCTTTAGTATGTGGGTGGTGTGTGTTGTGTATATGTATGCGAGTGTGTACATTTAAAACTAATGGTAGGAGGGTAACTCAAATAAATAAAATACAATTTTTCTGATACCTAGTTGACTCGTTGTACTATTATACAAATTTAAATAACACAGAATATAAAATAAAATAATATAATACACCAATATACATATTGTAGCCCGTCTAGCCCGACAAATAATAATAACTAACTATTTGAGATAATTAAAAGTATAATAATAAATTATTATTAGCAGCTATTTGAGCTCCTATAGAGTATAATAATGTGGCGAGCTAATTGAACTGTGGCTTAATTAAATAATTTTGACCCTCCTGGCCCAGCAATATATTATGTATAGTAAGTTAATATAAAAATTAGAATGTTTGGAGCTACTAATTTAAAGAATTTAAAGCTAATAAAGTAATAACAAATGACAATACAAGGTACTCGCAATATGTAAACGTGAAGACTGGTCAGCCGTTACAATCGCTGTAATACTGAAGATAATACTAACACAGTACCTGATTTCGCTGATGCCGATCCTACGATTACGGTGGTTATCGGCAACGACTCGCGTTTTTGTGGTTGAGAACAGGAGCGGTAGGGGTTACTCATACAAATTATAAAACTAATACTATTTTTAAAATACAACAATACTACCGCCGCTGACCGTACGGTATATATATTATACAACAATATTATAAAGGTAATTATATATGAACAAAGACGTAATAATAATAATATGCGGGCGCCCAACACGTTAAAATACAAAATAATAAAATATAAGAACAATAATTGCGCGTATAATAATACAAATTCCTGGTATATGCGCTTACATTATAGTAACCTTAAATGCCACAAGTATAAAAAAATGTATATAATAATAATATAATAATAATAATAATTGGGCATTACGAGTTGGACAAGAAGTGTGAATATAGTAAAAATATGACCTGAAGGCGACAGCACTGGACGATTTAGGCGATGTGGCCCTCTGACGTAGACGAGCACTGTAGTAGACTGCAGTTGATGATGGCAACCTTAGCTGGGCATACTCGCTTACCGTTCAAAGTGGCAAAATTGACACCTCGTGTTCACATGAGGTTTCGTATGCGACACGCAAACGTACACGGTGATCGAGCACGTTGCTCACAGATCAACCGTTGGAAAAAGACAAAAGCTACAAAAAATTGGCTGTAGGTTGTCGGGTGTCTTGGGCGGCATGGCCGTCGGCAGACGAGGCTGCCACAGGACAGTGGAGGGGAGAACTGGCCGGACACTAAGTGTAGATAGCTTAATTATCTCCACCCCACATGATAAAACAAATAAATATAGATCGGCGGCCGAAAAAACCGTTTCGCGATCGAACAGTACCTACACCGTATACTATTTAGGAATAATAATCAAATAATATTTGAAAAAACAACCTCCATTTAATTAATTAAATTAATACAATGAATACAAAATACAATACAAGTGTCTAAAAAAGGCGAATGCGCCTGACAATCAATATAATACAATTGCGATTCGAGTACGCCGCGATATAGGTAATAACAATTTATGATATAATTTATCCTTGATTCGAGCCTTGAAAAATGATAATATAACATAGCTCTGGTGATTCACGCCTTGAGGATGACACAATGTTATAGCACTGCCGATTAGCGCCTACGATTCACTGTAGTTTTATGGCAATTTGAGCCTAACAATTACTAAAATATTATAATATATTGTAAAAAAATGCGATCGACTCACGAAATAATGATTTGCTGTTCCTGTTGACGTGGATTGGGCTCAATTGAGCATCGTACGTAATTAGCGTAATCTGCATAATAGTATATAATTCACAATGACATAGTTAAATATAAAAATAAAATAATACAAATATTATATGCGTGTATGTGTGTGTGAGTGTGTGCCGATCATCGATGTTATTTATTGGAGCATCGTGGCTATGTGTCCTCGGCTCTAACAGATGTTTTATATAGATACATTTATATGGCCTGATAGGGTCAATTTGTGGACTATTAAACAATGAACACCACACATTGCACATGTAGAATTACCTGATGATCCATATTTTGACGGGCATACCAGATATTCTACATAAGATATATTTTAATTTTGTACAACCATTCAAAAAATCATTTTCAAAGATTATAGTTTGAACGAAACTGTATTGAAAATACAATATTGCCATTTGCCGACATCATTACACTTGCACAAAACAGACTGTTATATTTACCAGGCATATTTACTATTTCATGCACAAACTGATGAAACTAAAATCTGTGATTAGTAAGTCGAACACAGAGCATAAAATAAAATGGAGAATAGAGTTAAAATTCAATTGCTTAAATCTACTAAAATCTAGCTCAATTTTCAACTCCCCTAGTAGATTATTCCTGAATCTGGCGCGAGTGCTACCGTAACGCGATGCATGCCAGGGGATAGAATAATCATAAGTTGAGAATTCTAAATTTGTGGTTACGAAAGGTTATGAAACGATTTGTATGGTTTAAGAAATAAAATATTATACTAACAATTTTAATTATAGCTTACAAGTAAAGATTGAATATCAACATTGTCAATACAGACACTAATTTTCTTAGTGGTTCATTAATTTACAGAATAAACTTACGTAATTAGAATGAAATATAATTGTTTACTACGCATATTCAAAAATATTAGAATTAATTATTATGCAATATGATAATTTTTAAAATTAACGATAAATCGTAAATATATTAATTAATTTAAATACAGCACTGTACTTTTGGACCACCTTATATGTGGATACCTAAATAAATACAACGCATTTAATTATTTACAATAGGCTGGTAATTTTTAAGATTCTCAAAGTACATAATTATAATCTGATAATTATTGTTATTGGCTAGTACGGACTAGTAGCTACTCTATTATATTCAATTTAAACCACAGGAGTCGGTAGTGCAAATTTATGAACAGTTAAGAAGATTAGTATTTATTGCCAATGTTGACATTTTATCTTTACTTGTGGGTTATAAATTATAATTAATACTTGTTATAAAATGTTTTATTCTTAAGCCATAAGACAAATCATTGTACTTTCAATATTATATTATTCATGAAATTATAACAATTGCTCTCATAATAAATAATAATATTTTAGATAAAATATATATAATACATACAAAAATATTATATTATAATAATAAATTAATATACGCAAACTTGCAGCCAACATAATAATATTGTTAGAATACAAACGAAGAATTATTGATTTGCATGGAGTAATTATACCATACAATATTCATTGTGAATCGACTTCAACGTCTGATCGTATAAATTATTGAAGTCGTCAACGTCGACACTGTTGCGTTGCTTATAGACCTTAGTGTTGTAATTCACACGGTTCGTCCGGTTCGCGACAAGCAGTGAGTACGCGTCGACGGTCATCTCGAAGTTGTGTATCACTTTTTCCTTAGTCTCGAACATGCCGAACAAAAGCTTTGAGATTTTCCGGCTGATTCTGTATACTAGATAGAGCGTCAAAGGGCCCTTGGATGGGCCACTTGACGGCAACACTGCTTTGACGCGCTCTTCATACTCGTTCACCTTGCTGTTAGAAGCAAAGTGCGCGGTATTTTGGTGCGCATGCTCCAAAAATAACCGAACTAGGTTATCGACTTTCTAAAACAACGATACGAGATAAGCCGAGAGTATGACACACAAGGGGTATTTCAAAGAGAAAGAAAACATAGATATACACGTTTATGTAAATATAGGTAGTGTTAAGAGTTTCTCTTCGTGGCTTCTGACATTTTTTTTCCATAGGAAAAGTTAGCCTAACCTCAAGTGCCAATCGACAAGAATTAGGCTCATGAATCATTGGTACAAACCAAGCAAGAATCGGTCAATCTTTCGCCGAGAAAACTTAATTTTTCTAAATTCACGTGATGTTCCGCATTTGATTTTGGTTTACCGATAAAAAGTATAAGTTCGGGTTGGTGTTAGTTTTAAGTCGACCCAATTAAATTCCTAACACACATCCCTAGTCTTTGGTGGATCGCGAAATAAGATCCGGATCCCCGGAAGTGAGAAAACCCGTTTTCCCGTCCACATAGTTCGGATGGACTTGAGGCCGAAAGCGAAGTCGCCCACTCTCGAGCGAAGTAATTTTGGATGAAACTCGTCTAGACGAATCCTGGGACACTTTCTCAACCTAACCGAGAGGTTTCCATCCTACATCTTATCGGTGAGTAATCATAACTCTACATTTTCACCATATAAATATACAACCTCCGCCTCCCGAACTCTATCATGAATTTGCCCTTAAACAGCTTCTAGGCAGGTGTCACAGCGCCGGAAAACTTTTTCCTGAGTGCGATCAAGTATCGTGGACACTTAACAGACGGCGGGAAATTAAAAAAAGGAACAATTCCAATTATACGTAGCGCTCAGCCACCGACAGAGCGACGTAGCCATCCGGTACATTACTGACCCGGGTAAATGGTTCAAGGCCCGTAGCTCGTTCGTTAGTACGGCTATGTGAACAATAGGCAACACCATAGTATACAGCGCCCTACATACTAAAAGTGACCTCCCCCCCCCGAATTTTGGAGATTTTAATTCAAGTACATCTTTTCAGAGACGGTTCTATCGCCAAAAATTTTGGCTTAGGGGCCAACGTCCCCTCATATTCTAGTCGTCTAAAATCCCTTACAAATGGTCTAGGGCGCCGTTGAAGGAATCGGCGTAAAATTTAGGATACGCTCTCTGACCCCCCTCTGATCCTTCTCCTGGAGTTTGGCGCAGACCCGAAGAGCTAGTGAAAAGAGTTCCCACCCCTTTTTGGAGCCGCGAATGATTTTACCTTAGAGCAATATTGTATCACCTTTAACATCGTTCCGAAGCTTGCAAGTCGTCCAGGGATCAGTTGAGAGGCACCGCGAGTTTCATTGACGGGGGACCTGATACCAACGGATTTGGTAATCCCGTTTTTGACTGGTTCACATGTGGAAGTGGAAGTAGCAAATGAGGCAAGGGTCATCGTACTTCCCCTTGACATAGACTCACCGGCTGGTCCAAACAGTGGGGCAGGAGGACAAGAGAATAACATGCTGCAAGAGACCACCTACACATCGATGAAGGCGCTAAGCAAGTCCAGACGCAAGACGGAGGATAGTAGCATCTGCTATCAAAATCTGCAGTCTTGGATAAGGTAGTAGACAATCTACGCAGTGAACCTGCCGAAGCTACCATTCAGGAAATGATGTCAGTGATTGCCGCTCTCAAGGAAAGCCAAGATCAATTGACCAGCGCATACAATTTGGTGGCTACATGCGTAAATGTGGAGCATAGTAAACCGGATAAACGGCTTCAAACATCACCACCAACGATGCCGAACCCAGTCTCTCGCAACTGGTTCACCCGGGCAAATAAATTAGAGAGAAGGCCGTTCATGGCTTGGCCTGGACCGAGGTTGACAGAAAGCACCCACGGTACAGAGGCCTCAACCGGACGCTGTACCTCCCTCAGAACCAAGCAGTGGCATGATTTTGAAGTAGGCTTAAGCGAAGACCCCCTGAAATTATGGTAGACGTCAGACGCAAAGATTTTCCTGGTCTGGTAAGGAAGATCCGCTAAGGTATTGACCAGGATTTCATTGGCCACCGAGTAATCAGTATGCGTCAATCTAAAAATGAAGGTCTTCTAATAAGTGTGCGAGGTAACGCAAAGCGAGTTGAAGCAGTTAGAGTGGAGGTCGCAAGGTCGGCAGGCTCCAAGACGCAGTCAGGGCACTACAATTGAGTGCTCTTGGGGGGAGGGGGAGATTAGGGACATGAATGAGTGGACCAAGAGGTTTGGAGGGGTGCAGGTTGTCCTTATCCTAGGTACATCGGATCTGGCAGAAGAAGATAATATAAAGATAGGTATGGTGAGCTGCATAATTCGCCAGGCCTAGAGCAAGATCGTGTGCTTTCGGTGCCTGGCCTACTTTCATGACTCCAAGGTCTGTCGGGAAACGGCCCGTATTGTGTGTTGTATACTCTGTGGCACACAAGGTCACTTTGCAAATAGTTGCTCGGTGGGTGCGTATCTGTGGCGTTGGCCTTCGGAAAAGGTTAAAAGAATAGTCCCTCACAGGATTGGCACAAAAAAAGCAAGGAAACATCAGTCTATAGGACTAACAATGGTCAATTTCTTGCAAATTAACATTGATGGAAGTAAAAAATCACCTAGGATCTTATAATGGCCTCAGCGAGTCAACAGGGAACTGACATACTGATAATTAGCTAACCGTACCACTGTGATCAAGAAAACGTAGTATGGTTTAGCGACACCGAATGTACAGCGACCATCGCAGTCTTTAATCCTATGATGCAAGTCCAAGAAATCGGTCCTAGAGGCAACCCAAGCTCTTCCTTTGTGTTATGCTTGAGGAAATCACTTTCAATACCTGTTACTGGTCTCCTAATACGGACTACACATTATTTATGGATTTTCTGTACAGAGTTGATGGTAGCATAAGAAACAAGGCGGGAATCTTGAAGTTTCTGGAAATTTTTAATGCCAAATCGCAAGTTTTGGGGAGCCAAAGAGGGGACCCAAAAAGACGGGCACTGGAAGATATAATGGCGAGCCTTTGCTTGGCCGTATGCGATCTTGGAAACAAACTAACTTTCTCCAGAGTATACAAGGTCGGCTTATCAAGTTCATGTAATGGTGACGGGAAGCTACATAATCCGTGAAATAAAATTCTGGACCAGTACACTGGATTACTCCACAGATACATAACTTTCAGTATCTCGTGAACGACACTACAGAACGAAATCCAGCAGAAGAAAGGTGGTCCTGGAAGAAGTTTGACAGGGCTAAACTACCGAGATAAATAGAATCGACCCGTCACGAAACCTAGCCTAAGCGAGAAGTCGTCCACTACTAGCGATCTGGACCTGGTCAGGTCCGGGAAGGGCAGGTAGCTACAGGGGAGGGAAAAAAAGCCTGCTTACTGCTAAACTCGGAATATATGCTACAAGATGAGTGGAAGAAGGTGAGACACAGTTATAAGAGATTGCGCCACTGGTCGATCAAAACACAGGAACAAGGACGAGAGAACTTCAAAGTTGCAAAAATGAGTTGAAAAGGGCTATGAGGCTGAGCAAGGAGTCCAGTTGAAACAGCTTATCCGATCAAGTAGAAATGGACCCCTAGGGCTTGCCATATAAATAAGTGACAAAGAAGCTTGTAGGTACAAGACCAATGCCAGAGGCTCTCAATACCAGGTAGAGTTTACTTCATACCACCATGGGTGGAACACCACGCTTTTTCCGAAGTCACTTGTGATGAGAGAAGGGAACTAAGTGGGGAGATTCCATCAGAGAAAGCACCAAGACCGGATTGAGTGCCAGCCAAGGTTATCATAGAAGTTGCCACTAGAGAACATGTAATACAAAGGGACACATTCAATGCTTACCTCAAGCATAGTCTGTTTCCGAACTCATGATAATGACTAAATTGGTCTTGTTAAGAAAAGGTGAAAAACCAGTAGAAAATCCTTCTTCTTACAGACCGATATGTCGTTTAAATACCGTTGGAAATCTAGTCGAGAGAATTTTTAAAGAGGCGTCAAGAAGAATACCTCGAGGAAAACGGTGACCTCAATGAGTGGCCATTTGGATTTAGGAAGGGACATTCCACTGTGGATGCTGTTAGTAGAGTCATGGATGTTGTGGGCTAGGCCGGATCCTGGCCTAAGTATAGAAGAAAGCTCTGCGTATTCGTTGAGCTAGATGTGACTAACGACTTCAACTAGGCTAAATGGTGAAAAAAACGTAGATTCGTTACACGCAAAGCAGATGCCCTAGTACTTAATTGGTGTAGTATAGAATTACTTGAACGACCGAGCTGTGCAATATGAAGGAAGATCCTAAACCACTAACTGCGGCGTTCTACAAGGATCAGTACTGGGACCACTGTTGTGGAACCTAATGTACGATAAGCTACTCGGTGTGGATATCGGAGGCAATGTGGAGGGCGTGTCATCGACGACACTGATTGCTTTCGTGGATGACGTGGCAGTATTAGCAACGGGACGCACTCCTCTCATCCTCGAAGCGGAGACAAAATAATGGTATACAAGAAAAGGTCGCCGACTGGATGGAAAGAGAGGATCTAACCCTTTCAGTTGAGAAAACCAAGGTTGTTGCCTTAACAAAAAAAGAGGGAAAACGAACTACCAAAAATAATAATAAGATTAGTGGATTCACATATAAAGGACCAGATAACATACCTAAGAGTAGAGCTACATAGGGCACTTGGCTCCAGAGCTCACGTAGAAGCGACGTCGGCTCAGGCCACTTCCTCAGCGCTTTCTAGGTTAATGGGAGGCAAAAAGAATAAATTGCTTTTGATGGTCGTAACTAGCGAGGCGCTGTACGGCTCACTAATATGGATATAACGGCTGTGGAATGCATAAGAAATGTAGAAACGATACTAAGACCACAGCAAACAATCGCAATAAAAACGGTAATGGCACACCGGACCATATCAGCGGTGGCAGTAATTTTGATAGCAGTCTTGATACCGTCGTATCTCCTTGCAACGACCAAAATATAGTGTCGTGACCTTATATAATATCGTACAAGAATAACACTGAATACCTAAAGTAAGTAAATCAAATGTAATCGAATGGAAGTGTAACTAATTTTTTTTTTCTTTCCAAGCTATGCATAATAATTTATCAAATAACCTTATTATGTGTTTTTTTCACAGATTGTATATCTCAAAATATAAATTTTTTTTGTTTTTTATTTGCGTTACACAATCTATACAATTTGAGTACAATAAGCGTAAATGATAATATAGAAAAACAGACATTGAAAATTTGATTTGGAGAAGCCACACATTGACGACACTCTTTAGGGAGTTATATTATACAAGTATGCGATTAATTAAAGAGAAGGTCACGGAACCATTTTCTTTTCAGTCTTTTGGGAGGGTTCCAGGGATAGGTAAAGTCAAATCTTTTGCGAGGTTGTTCAAATGATTCTTTAAAGAGTTGTGGTATCGGGTGTAATAGCTTGTAGCAGTTTGTGCGATTGTTTTCATTTTTGAGGTCGGAGTGTAGTGTATGCTTTGTTACGTAGAGTGGAGCATTAGTGATTAGGCGTAAGATTTTATTTTGGTATATTTGGATTTTATTCAAGTTTGATTTTTTGGCGCACCCCCAAATGTGAATACCATAAGTCCATATTGGTTTTAGGAGGAGCTTATAGAGATTAAGTTTTGTGTGAAGAGTAATTTCCGAATTTGAATGCACAATTTGTCGAAGTAAGCGTGGACGGGTGTTTATTTTGAGTTTTGTACAGTGGATATGATGGCTCAGTTCAGTTTTTTATCAAAGTGTACTCCAAGGTATTCTGTTGTATTCGAGGTCGGTATTGTGTTGTAATGTGTAATGTGTTAATGTTATCGGGGGGCAGATTTCGTGTTTGAGTGTATAGGTAATATGCCATGATTTCGTTTCGTTAATTTTAACTTTCCAGTTTTTATACTAAGATTCTATTTCATGAAGGTGGGATTGAAGATTATTGGAAGCAGTGAGAGAATTTTCGTGGACGAAGAGAATGGCTTTGTCGTCAGCGTATTCAGCTACTAAGGTGTTTGGTGAGGTCGGTTGGTTAGCGATGAATATGTTAAAAAAGAAGAGGGGCAGGTATCGCTTCTTGTAGGACTCCAGCGTTTATTGTGGATAAGGATGATAAACTTGTGTGGTATCGAACAGTGAATTGACGTCCAGTGAAGTAATATTGGAAAATTAGGTAAAACGAAGGTGGTAGGATCTTTTAAGTTTATAGAGAAGACCAGCATGCCACACCCGGTCGAAGGCTTGTGCGACGTCGAGGACGACTGGGGTACAATATTGTTTTTTTTTTCCAGCGAGGCTGAGATTGTGTCCGTTATACGATTGATTTGGTAAGTAGTGGAGTGAAAATTACGGAACCCGAATTGTGTATTTGGGATAATTCTTGAGTTATATATTATTGGAATTATTCTTTTAAGGATTACTTTTTCCAGAACTTTTGAAAAGAAAGGGAGGAGACTTATAGGCCTGTAAGAAGCTGGAGAATCTGGGGATTTTCTGGGTTTTGGAATTACTACTATAATAGAAAATTTCCACTGAAGTAGGAAGTACGATAGACGGAGTATGGCGTTAAAAATATATGTTAGAAAAATTAGAGTTTTCCTCGATAGGTTTCTTGCTAGCTCATATGTTATGAGGTCGAAGCCAGGAGATTTTTTTTGGGAAAGGTTGATATGCACTGGTGAAAAAGCTTTTGGTGGTAAGTACATTTGCAGCGGCGATAACAAGTAGTTTGTAATGTCATTAAATATGGATTGATTTTCTATATTGGTGTGTGGTTTAAAAACTTCGGTCAAATGGTTTTGGAACAGTTCACCTTTTTCTGAATCATTAATGCCCCATGAGCTGTCAGGATTTTTAAGATAAGGGAAACGGGGTTTGTCTCTAAGTACTTTTTTTGTAGTTTTCCAGATTGAGCAGTCATGGATAGAGAGAGATGCTATGTGTTAGTAATATGAGTCGTTGCTAAATTTAGCTAGTAACCTCTTTAAATGTGCTGTTAGCGTGTTAAGACGTAAATATAAATATAAATTTAAATAAACAAACAGTTAAACTATAAGACGCATGTTTTTTTTTTATAAAATTGGATAGCACGCTTTTAGATCAGCAGATCACTATTATTATAGAAATTTAAAACTTAAACAAGTTTTATTGATATATATTTAAAATACAATGAAAATAATGTCCAATAATATTAATGGATTCTATTTAAACTTAAAAAACTGAAAAATATCCTTAGATATTTAGAACTTGTTACCCATTTAAAAACCAAGATGAGATGTCCTTAAATCTCGGGATATTAATGTAACCGTCGAAGTTACTATAAATATAATTTACCTCATTCAGTTCCTCGTACCCCTTCAATGGGAACCTTGTCGTGGACATTTTCATATCTTGATAGTTATCTGACAGAAACTTCTTGAACCTATCTTCGGCCGTTTCTGAAATTTGAGCCACATAACGCGGCTCGTCATCAACGGGCTTGTCGAACCGACCGTATACTTCGTCATTACGGATCATTCCAAAAATGAAAGACGTCACTTCGCTCACGTTTTTGGACTTTAACAGTTTAGTGGGAATTATATCTTTTTCGTTCAAGTGCTGAAGCCTGTCTATGGTTTTTCGCATATCCAAAAATATTTTCTCTGAGAAAGTAAACCACAATCGTACTATGTATAAAATCATGTAGTTTATTCGTTTCTGAGTATAAGTAGGTATATGAAAAAAAATATGACATATTAACATATATAATATATGTAAAAAAATTGGTCTTTTAGTTAACTTGAACAGGGAGCACATAATATCATTTAAACCAGGAAAATTATCATGAGTCCCGGGAGAGAGTCCCATATATTTTTATTAATAATTGTAATAAAATAAAGAAATAGTCAACTACACCGGAAAATATTCAAACGGTTTTACGATCGCAATACAGTTTATGTTAGTAATTAACACATTGGCTTCAATTATTAACATCTTGTCTTTCATCATCTTGTACATCAGCATGTTTAAATGGGTCGCTACAGCAGTATTAACTTGGGAAAGAATGAAAGAATAAAATAATAACTATAAACTCTATTTTTCTGGAATGTTTAAATTTAGGACTGTATAAATTTGGTAACAACTTTTGATAGTATTATACATTTACTCACGAGGGCTTGTACTAAACTAAAAACAATCATAGGTTATCATTTTTACAATAAACCACTGCACTATTGACTGAATAATGAAATAGAACCGTTATTTTATTTTATTCTATTTCTCTTTTATTCGGAAAATTTATAATCTGTATTTATCAACACAATAAGTAAAAACAATTATTGACACAAACATATTATACATGCTATGAAACAAGATGAGAGAAGTCATCAAACGATGAAATTTTCCGATGATTAACTTATCAAATCAATATTATTGTAATAGGTCAAGGCTTCAAAGCCTCTTGCGGTGGAGTGTTGGGTTGTCAAGAATCGTACTCGATGATACATGGAACCTTGAGACCTAAAGGGTTAAGATGGTGTTGCTCATTGAAATGAAACTTATTTTAATATAAATAGGTTAGTTGGTCAACTGTTAGATTTTTAAATCTATATGTACGGTTTCATTTTTTACGTATCAAGAGGCCGAGACCATTAGCTGAAGAGTGGTGGACTGAAAGGCTTGAATTTAGTTCGGGCTTGAGAAATTAAGTTAAATATTAACAGTTATATAAACATGGAAATAAATACGAGGGACAGTTCCAGTATTTTATAGATAATAAAAATACGAAGCTGAACTATACTCGTACTATTATGTTGAAATAGTAAGATGCGGATTTTCCGATTAAGTATAATGCCCTCTTTGACTTGCGTGAAAATAAAATGTTGACATTCTCAACATTTCCAATTATATTTCCCCTCAAAAATCAGATATCATCATCCAGCCTTCTGTATTAAATATTTTAATTTAAACGATTAAACCTGATTACAGATCGTCAACAGTTATAATTCCAGGATTAAAGATTTTTCGTAGTTAGTTACTAACTGTAGTTTAGTACAATATATTATCTAGTATTATGTGCGTATTATACGCTTAAGGGGGCTGGAGCAGGTACAAATTATCACGTAAAACAGGCCAAAAGCTAGACAAAACTGTTGGACTTGGGTTAGACAGATTTCAATTTTGAAAACTAATTGAAAATCTTTAACAACTCTTCTAAAGCATGGCCGTGGAAATTTATCATTATTATAAAAAATAATGACGTACTTAAATATATAAAATACCAAAATTCTTATTTTTTAAATTGTCGATATTTTATCGAAGAATTTGTATAAAC